TGGAGTGACTTACAAGTAAAGTCGACTCAGAACGACTTATGAATTTTATGAGATGCTTTTTAATGACAAAAATACACTCAATTATTAAAACCTACTAAAAGGCGGTTTTTATTTGGAAAGCTTTTAAGGTTTAAACTAAGCACTTTCAGAGACGAAATGGCTGATTACAAGTGCTGTGAGGTTATTTTTATATTATTTTATAATTAAGAAAATAATTTCTATAGACCGGCTATATGTTTTAAACAAAAAAATAACAAGTTTATATATGTCAAAATTGTTGGTAATGGGTTCGTTGATCAAATATTCTCAACATTCCATAAATAAAAAAATATTTTTTTATTTTTTATCTACGCTTCCCACAGTATTTAGATATTTATAGAAATAGAATTGTTCTTATTTTTATGTTGTTTTAGTCAAGGATAAATTTTAATTAAATTAAATTAAATTTATATTTTTAATTTTAATTTATATTTTAAATATAAATTATATTAAATTAAGTTTTTGGGTAAATTCATTGATCCCTTCAAGATAATATATTCTGTTATAATTTAACACAATTTAATTTAACTTAATTATTTAATTTATTCTAATTTTAATTGAACTGAACCAAAAACAGTTGTCTTTAAAAAATAAAATAAAAAATAAAAATATTTAATTAATTTTAATTTAATGCAATTTAATTTTAATTGAACTAAACTAATTAAAAAACAGTTGTCTCTAAAAAATAAAATTAAAAAATAAAAACACTGTAATTAATTTAAATTTAGTAGAACTAAATTTTATTTTATTCAATTTAACATTTTTTAATTTAATTAAATTTAATATAGTTTAATCTAATCTAAGTTAATTTAATTTAATTTTGATTGAATTTAAATTAAAAAACAGTTGTCTTTAAATAATAAAAAAAAATTAATTAAATTAAATTTAATTTTATTTGAAAAAAATTTAATTAAGTTTAATTGAATGCAATTTAATTAAATTTTATTTTATTCAATTCAATTTAATTTAATTTTATTTACTTTATAAATCTAATATTAATACGATTAAATTGAGGGTCCATAAATCAAAATTGAGAAAAACAGATCTCAGGCAAATTTTTTTTTTATATGTGTTTATTTTTTGAAATCTAGATACAAAGTATTTATTTAGAAAAAATCACAATCACTACCTCACAGCCTAAAGCATTTTATACACAGTTTATTTTCAAGTAATTAATTTTGTTACAGTCTGCTTGTTTATAAAGTTTTAGCTGATTTTCGAACAAGTCTGAAGAAATAAAAATTAAATATAAGTTTAAATTTTATTACTTTTAATTCAAGATGAGTGTAAAATACATTATTTTATTTTATAAAATTTTTATTTTTAATTCAATGTAGGCATAAAATATACAACATGGTACAGTTATCTCAATGTTTCATAAGAAAGTTAACACTTAATCGTTGCTTCAGCAGCCCTACCTAAAACTTAACTAATATCAATGACTCGCATAAAAAGAACAAAAATAAATAAGAATATTATTAACATTTTGTTTTTGCAATGAAAAAGTTTTATACCTACTATATATATCTATATATGTATGTATGTATATCCTTATGTATGTATATATGTATGTTGGTATATATACATATAGATTATATTAAAAAGCGAATCGCAACGATTTGTATTGCTGTCAATCCGCAAAATGTAATTTGTATTACAACAAAGGCAATAATAAAGGCAAAAAGCTGACGGCAGCAGCAAATATAAAATAAGTTTAATAAAATGAGCAGTAAAGATTGCTTGAAAAAAGAATTAAAAGCGAATTTAATGGCGATAAAATAGAGAACAGCTTGCGCTAAATAAAATGAGAAGAATATATGTACATATACAAGTATATGTATATTAATATAACTGTGTGTATATAAGTTAATTAATTATAACTCATTAATTATTTTTAAAAAAGCTAGCGGACTTTTGTCCGCTCATAAACTTCTTTATTTCGAATCCAACTTAAGACTGATTACAATTATTAGCTTAACTTAAAATTACACCTACTATTGGCTACACTCACGTTGCACTTCAATGTGCGCCCTATTTGTTGTTATTGCCAAAATCGATATTTCTGCTGATCGTTGTTTTACTTCAATTTATGATATTTAGGTGACTATAGTTGCTGACTGTTGTTTACACAAACTATGTTGAGGTGTCAGCAATTATGCGGATGCGCGTGTAGAATGGTTGACCATTGCCAAAATTCAGCTTAGTTGAACTTTTGCAAGTTCCGGAGTTAACTTATATTAATTTAAAAATGTACATATATATGTATATAGTATATCAAAGAGGAATGATTCTTAGGAAAGAATGCATTTTCTGGCATGCAATTACATATCGAGACAAATATTAATATATATATATATATATGTAAATGTGTATATATCTAAGTATAAATGTCTGTATATACATACATATATATGTATGAATGTATGTGCAACCTTATGGAAAATAACAGCAGTCAACGTGGAGCACATGTTGCCAGCAATCATGATTACAGCGCCTCAACTAAGCTTAAAATGTGTTTATATATAAGTATATACATACATACATACATATGTACATATCTACATATATAAAAGGATGTATATTAACCAGTATGCCGGTTCGCGTTCTTTAGCACTCATTCAATTTTTTAAGAGACACCGTACAGTGCTGCTTTTTTAATTAGCATTCTGCTGCTACTTCTACAATTTATTTCCCCACTGCAACAATTGTGGCTTACACACATACAAACAAATACATATATATATATATATAGATAAAATGCAGCCAGTTATTTCTCCTCCGCTGCACATAGCTGTGGGGTATTTAGCAGCTAACTAAGTATATGTAAAGCTCACCTGTATCTGTAACTACTGCACACATACACACACACACCCACATGTAACTGTATACTTATACTTATAAACCGCCCTCCGCGCGACATATTAATCAATTTATCTATGCATCCATATATATGTGTGTGTGCGTAGTTTGGCTGCAAAGGGGCGCGAAAGCAGAAAATAAAAATGGCCGCGGTTTTGCACGCCCTTACCGCCGCCAAATACACAGTACACGTTCTAAAAATAATAGAATATACTTATATACACACACACACACTGTAAGTAACTTTTTGTTGCTACGTTGCACTGTGTGCTGTCCATTACTCGTGTTGTTGTTGTTGTTGCCCTAAAAACCACCCTCTGCTGGCTAGCCAAGCATGCAGAAAATTTTCCCCATTTTTCACGTTCAACTACTTTGCGCCCTCTTTAGCTGGCAGTTTTTTTTTTAGTTTCTTTGCGTTTTGTTTTTATTGTTTTTGCTTGCGCTGCGCCTCGTTTGCTTGTTACTGTGCGAACGTGCGCTTAGTTAGTTAGCGTGCGGCACGTCAAATTGCTGTCGACCGCGCGCGCTCTCTGCACGTTGCGCGCGGCGTCTCTTTTCGCAAGTGTCTATTTGCGGCCGAGCGCAATACGTGGCACAGCAACAACTATATTAATAAAAACAATATTAGTAATAACAACAACAACACGTGTACTTAAATACCTAGGCGCGCTGCAAGAGCACCAGCGTTGGGTGGGTCGCGTGGCAGCGCTGCGTGTTGCAAGTTGCTTACGTGGCTGGTGCGCTGTTAATGTTGTGGCTGTTGGGTGTTTTTTTTTGTTTCTGTTATTTGCGCTTGCAGGCGCTGTAGAGGGTGGCAACTGCAAACTCAAGTTGGTGTTCCATTTTTAAAAATGAACACATGGCCGCAAGCGCACACACATATACACAGAGAGCTATTTGCGAATTATTATGGATACACACACACATACATAAGCGAAAAAATTTGTATGAAATCAGATTTTCAACCACCACAGTTGTTTGTATGTGTAGGTGTAGCGCAAAAAATAGCATACCCACACACACAGAAACAGCTATAAAAAACTTTGTTTCCCTTGTTCAAAGCAGTTCGCAAATGTGAAAAATAAAAGAAAATATGCGAAAAAAATTTGAAAAAATGTAGAAAAAGCGCACGCTATTTAGGGGAAACGCTGCGCGGCAACAGCAAATCCGGAAAATGAGGCATAAATTATTTTTATAGGCAGAATATGCGCGCGCGTTCGCTATGCTTAAGTGGCGACATGGTGGTGTGTACCACACACACATACACACAAATATTTATATACACATATATATGTATATTATAGTTATTTATGTGCATGTTTGTGTGTATGCGCGCGCCTTTGGCGGCTTGTCGCTGTTTTTAATTTAATTTCTTCTTTTTTACTTTTAGCGTCGCGCATGTTATTGTTGTTGCTGCTGCCATAATTTGCGTATCGAATTTTTGTGGCCGCATTTCGCATGTTTGGCCAGCAGCAGCTTTATTGCCGCCTTGGCAAACGCGCACGCCTCAGTACACTTTCGACTTTGGCATATCGTTGTCGCCGGCCACGCATTCACCGCTTTCTGCAACAACGGACACCATAAGCGGCGCTCGACGTCACTGTGGCGTCACAGATTTTGGCAGCAGCGAGCGGGAAAAAAAATTAAAAACAGCGCGCTGCCACAACGTGCGCTTATTATTTTCGCGCCGCTTGGCGTACAACTTTTCGCTGCCACTTGTTTCTTGCAACACGCTGTGTCGTGCTCCATTTTTTCCTCTTGGACAATTCGATCTGCAACATTTATTTCAACTAACACTGCGGCACTTTTTTTTTCAAATTTAAATGTTGTGTGTTTTTTTTTTTTGCGACTTTCGGCTGCTTAATCTCCGCGTGCGCATTACCAGCGCCGCGTCCAATCGGCTGTAGCTCGGTTATCATTCGGTTATTCGTGCTGTTGCCAGTAAAAGCACATAGATTGAGTTTCTAGCGCGCTTTTGGTTGCTATTTATTGCTGTGATTGTTGTTGTTGCTGTTGTTGGCGTTGGTGGTGCTTGCGCTGCCGCTATCATGACTGTTACTGCCGCCCCCTGCCATGCTGTTAGCAAGCGCGCACACAGACATCTATTATAGCGGGCAGGCGCGCCTCAGCAGCATCTCTGTGGCGGCGGCGCTGGCTAGCCGGCCGGTCGTTTGGCCGACTGGCGTTGCTTGGCAGTCAGCCAGGCTCCGTGGCTTATCCTGCATCCTGGCCTCGTGCAGTTGTCCAACAGCAGCCGGTGTTGGCAGTAGTACATCAGCTTGTCGTCGTCGCTGACACATTGATAAATAAATCTTAATCAACTTCAAAATTACTATTCAGTCACCGCCAGAGCAAGTAACATTTGAGGATGCAACAACAACTAACTAACTAACAAGATTTGCGCAGCGTCATATTAATTCCACATAAAAGCAAAATGTCGTCGCAATGCTAACTAACTGGTGCGCCTTAGCATCGTAGCCAGATATGTTATAATCCAAGTGTCAGTTGTTTAATTTACCGCGTACGTTTCGGCCGTCCAACGCTCCGCTTGTACAACAACACTAACTTAGCTTTTGCTAACTGCAAATGATTTATGGCCAAGAGACAATGAAACCGAATCGCCGTATACAAAAGTGCCGCTAACACTGGTCTCACATGCATTTATTGCATATAACATCGCATAACGGTTCTTGTTGTCATTTGTCGTTTGGTGCGTTCGAGTTTTCATTTGGTTAGGTTTTCGGCTGCTTTTCCGTTTGTTGTGTGTTGCCGACTTGTTGGTTGGCGCCTGTCAGTGTTTTCGACTGCCCGACAGACAGACGCTCGCATGCGCTCGCATGTACATAAATACTTGTATGTACGTATATAGACACGCGTGTGTGTGGCAACGTGCAACATGCTGTAATTTCCGTGTTTAGAACTGTGTCGGTGTTGCCGCTACTTTTGTTGTTGTTATACTTATTGTCGCCGTTGTGCAAAAACTCTACTCAAGTGTGGCAAACAGATCGGTGAATGTTGGTAAATTCCTGTAAATCAAAATGTTGCACATGCGAGTGAACGAGTACGTAGAAATAGACATGCAAGTGGGCACTTGCAATTGGGCGTAATCGTGGAGAAAAAATCGGGAATGGCGAGAAAACAGGTAAATTCAGCAGAAAATTAGAATAATAATATTTGAAATCAATTTTAAACATGCAACATGGTTTATAAAATCGGGAATAGGAATAGGTATATTGCAAAAATAGTATTGAAAATAGCGTTAACATGTATAATAGCATAAGTCTGCATTTCTAAATTTTACAAAAAAATATGAGTGTGACTTGTGATTTTTCCTTGAAAGTTGAGAAATTAAATTTTAAAAGTTAAAAAAAATCTTTTTTGAACTATAAATAAGTAACAATTAATTTAAATAAAATAAAATTATAATTTAGATATTTTTTACACAAAAAGTGAATATTTAAAGAAGTAAATTGTTTTAAAAATAAATATATATTCGAAAATGTCCAAATAAAAAAATTCTCAAAATATAAATAAAACCGAGTGATAAAATTTTGTAGAATTTTTCAATATACACATTTTTTAAAATTGTGAATTTTTAAAATTTCAACTTTAAAAACGAAAATATTGAAAAATTCTGATTGACGCTATAAATTTTCGAAATTATATACTTTTATCATAAAAATTGTACAAAAATCATTATAAAATGTTTGTAAATTTTTAAAAATTTCAACTTCGAAAATGAATATATTGAAAATTTCTTCAAAAATTACAATTTTTTTAGAATTTCCATTGATATACATTTTTGAATTTATATCGTATTATCATTAAAAATTCTACAAAAATTTTTATAAAGTTTTTTAAATTGTTTCGAAAATTTATATTTTTAAAAATTCCACAAAACTCCTTCCCTCCGTTTAAACCAATAATAATTGCTACTAATTTAACTTTCTATAAATAATATAATTCATTTAAATAAGTTATTATCAACTTTTAAAGATAACTACTTTTGAGATATTTAACTTAATTAAAACTTATTCTCAGCTGAAAACAGAATATTTCAAAATTTAGTCAAAAATTTAGTTAATTTAGTCTTATAAGTTGATCAAAGCCAAAACAAACAAAGAAGTTAAAAAAAGAAAAATTTAATAATAATTCGCTTGTTTATATGGAACGATTACTGAATATTAATTTTAAAGAAATTAAAAAAATAAAGTTTTTAAAACGTATAAACATTTTTAATAAAATTATAAAAGTATAATGATAATAAAAAAAAAAAAATTATTATAAAAAATAAAATTATATAAAAACAAACAATAATAAAAATAATATAAATAAAAGTTTTTAAAAAAATTTAAATTTTAAAACTATAAAGCTATTTAAAAAATATGCTAATATCTATGGTAGTCAAATGAGCTAAAGTGAGTTTCGAACATATAAAAAAAAAGCGAAATAAAACTCCAGTTCAAGTTGGAAAAAATATAAAATTTTCAAATTCTAATATTATATTTTGTAAAAAATAAAAAAATGCAAATAAACAAGAATTATGCTCAGTGTGAACAAAAATTTATTTTAGGCATAAATTAATAGGTTTAACATCATATGTATAATAATTACGATAATTTTTGCTTTGCAGATACTTAAAGTTCCTTTTATTTAAAAAAATTCGAAGTAAAAAAAATATTTCAATATCATTTATACTAGTATTTGACAATTTGCAGTAGTAATGATAGCCCATGAGAGATTATATATTATTATATTGTTTTTTTACTACATAATCCTAGACTCTAGACGATTTTTCTAAAGAAATAATTATTTTAAATAGTATATGAAATTTATAGTATCTATGTACAAAAATTATATTTTTTATATTACAACCAAATTTTTAAAAAAAAATTTAATTTAATAAATTTAATGACCAAATTATTTGCGACAGCTTTTTATAATTGAAAAATAAAATATAATATTTGCAATGACCAAATCGAATTTTTAACATAATTAGTATGATATTAGTTTTTGTGTGATTTTTTGAAAAGCTTTTTAATCCATAATCCACCCAAAAAAGCAATAAATATTTATTAGCATTTAACAAGATATTTGTGTTGTGGCAGTTGGTGGAGCTTTGCTAATTTTTCTGAAATTTGGCTATTTCTTGATGATATTAGTTAACAGAGTTTACCTGATTCTACTCCTCAGTAGATAAAATATGCCTACTGTGACACAGTATTGCCTTTTAGGTCTGTACACTGTAGACTTTATCGATCTATTTGATGTCTTATTTTTATATTATTAAATATTCTTATAATTTTCCTACTTATATTGCCCAATTTATGAAATAACTGATCCCGATAGCGAAACTGTAGTTTCCAGAACTTTATTTGTATGCATAATATATAAGAGGATTTTTGTTGTTGCTCCTCATCGTTTCAATATGCCACAGAAACAAAAGGTCATAGGAAAAAAGTATTCATAATTTTTTTATATTTTTTATTTTTATTTTTTTGCAGATGATTTTATGACTTAAAATTTACATCCAGAGCAATTTTTTACTACAACTTACCGTTTCATTGAAAATCGCGAAAAAAAAAATTGTTTTGCTCTTTGACACCAATTTTGTTTCCACATAACGAAACGTTGAGATTTTTAAGTATGTTGTTTTTAATCATGGTTTGAACATATGCACGAATTTTCAGCATGTTGTAAATGTATGCCATTTCACGCTAATTTTCTATCTAATTTGAACTACATGCAATAATTTCTGTATTTTACGAAGATGTTTATTGCTGGAAATCGTCTTTGCTTCTAATTTATTGAAAAATATAATGCCAAAATTATTTGCTTATTATAAAACAATTTCCTGGAAGACCTTGCAGGGTATAAAAAGTCACTTTATCTATCAAAGCTATTTCACAAAATATTTCAAAAAGGATGTAATACCTTTTAGGTGCTTAAATCTATTCAGAAAATAATCCAGTTCACACTTCGCAGCTACTTTTTGAAAGCAAATTAGTAAGAAAAACGACGAGAGCTTCTCTTATTTGACAGGTTTTTTATATAATATATAACTAAAAAAAAAAATATATTTCATACTTTTTAAACTGGAAATTTCATAGCATAAAATAATCGGCAGACTAATGAAACCTGTGCTGCTTACTGGAGATAACTGAGTTTATGGTTAGTTGATTTGACTGTGGGTTTAAAGTCGTGGAAATAATTTATTGTTGTTAGTATGGTAAGAAATCAGTGAGAAAAAAATATTCTTGCAGTGACATAGAAGCCAACAACAAATTAAATTTAGTGGAAAAATGGTGGAATGAGTCATCGCTTGACTAATATATCAAGAGTTGGCAATGAGAATTGTTAAACAGCTATGAAAAAAGGGAAAACGTGAATTTCGTTGCACCGAAGCAAATAAAAAAGAACTTGATTTCGATCATTCAGTTTATATAAAAGCTATATGTTCTTGAGGAAAAAAGAACGTGTGCAATAATTGTGCGACTAGTTAGCGCATATACAGGCGGACAGACATAATAACATGGCTAAATATACACAGCTCATCACGCTGATCATTTATTATATATATTTTTTTAGGGTCTCCAACGTTTCCTTCTACGTGTTACACACTTCTTTGCAAACTGAATATACGCTGTTCAGGGTATAAATAACTCACGCTAAAATTTTCACCATATCTAAGTATTTTTCAAAGACTAAATTTTATTGTTAAATTCACGCCAGAAAAAATATTCACTCGTCACTTGAAAAATATTGAAATTAATTTTTTAAACACCTTTTATATTAAAAATTTTTTTTTTCATAAAATAACACTAAAAGAACTGGTTTTCATGTGCTTCACAAAATTACGCTGCTAAAAAAAAAATTTTAAAAAATAAATAAGTAAAAAAAATTAAAAAATAAAAAAAGAAAAAAGCGCCAACTCACTAAATTTCAATAAAATGAAGTGAAACAATACACTTATCTGCCCACTTCCATCTGCGCTGACCATCAACACTTTCATCACGCATCAACAGCAACAATTCAACTACGACAACAACAACAACCACAACAGCATTGCACAATAAAGTGAGTGACAGTGCAAACGCCGAGACAGCCGAAACACTTGTCCGCATCTATGCATCTGTGTGTGTGTGTGTGTGTATGTTGTTGTACATGTGGTTTGTTGTTGTCATGCATGCAGCATTCAACAGCGAGCAACAAGATAATTTTTTAACCTCAACACAACCATCATCAACAAAGACATTACAATCAAAGCGAGACTCGACGCGGTGACTCTTCGATCGTTTCGTTGCTCATTTGCTATTCTTTCACGCGCGATGCGCGGCTCATATATTGTTGCCACAGCCACGCAGCATTAGCGTCAGCGCTGAAAACAAACCAAAAATACACAAAACAAAAAAAAAAAAAAAAACAACAAAACACGAATAAACAATAACAACAATAAGCCATATTGACCATAATAAAACAAGAGGAACAATCACATTTACAAACAACAGCAACAACACACGGCTTGAGGTTTGCATTTCGTTTGTTGTTGCTATTGTTATTGCCGTAGAACACCATTAAAGCCGCAGCTACAAAAGCAGTAATATCTTCGCTGAAGTTGTTGTTTCTGTTGTTGTCTGTGCGTTGTTGTCTGCTTTATGTGTAAGATAGGAGTGCTTGGCTTGTAAAAATCAGCGGCATCCATACACACACACACACATAGCTGCATCCATATATGTATGCATATGTGTGTAGCCATGTCCCTTTGTTTCGCCTAAATGCATTTGTTTGTTTATTTGCATGTTCGTATGGATCGCATGGAATAATATTTCGTGCATCAGGTGACCCATTTAACGTGAGTTGAGTTGGGGTTTCGTTTGTTTACGATTTTTATATTTATGCGTTTCGTACCTGTTGTTGCCAAAGTCGTGGCTTCTATACGTATTAGCACGGCGTGTTTGTATACATATGTATACACATACATACGCACATATAATATGTTACTCATATTTACCTTCTGGAGAAATTTTGAGGTGTTGAGGTGATGTGGAGCTGGTGTATTTGCAGCTGTGAGTGGTCCATCATTTTTTGGTAATTTTTCCTTTAAAAAATCGTGTATTCTTTTTTAATATTTTGTGAATTTTA